CACATTTAATATAACATACAAGCTATACAATTCAGTTGAAATACTGAATCTTTTAGGGAGGAAATAATGTACAATGTGGTATCAATGTGAATATCTTAAGACTTTGTTTAAGCATCTTTTGATTTTCTGACAGCATTCAATTTTTTGAGGTAGGAGCCAAACATGATATATCTTGCCTTGGACATCTGCCACTCTTCTGTGCTCCACAATTGTCTGATTGCGAGGGGATCTCCTGTGCACACCTCTCTTCGGGTCACCCCACAGATTTTCAATTGGATTTGGTCCAGACTCTGACTGGGCCATTCCAAAAATTTGGTCTTTTTTCTGGTGAAGCCATTCTTTTGTCAATTTGGAAGTATGCTTTAGGGTCATTGTCATGTTGAAAGTGACATTCCTCTTCGCCTTCAGTATTTTATCAGAGGTCTGAAGGTTTTGTCAAAATTGATGTTTGGAACTGTAATTCCTTCCCATCTTGATCATGGCTTTTGATGTAAGAGGCAACTGAGTATCAGAAAACTACTAGAACAGCTGAATTTTATATGGGCTTGATCAGAGTCACTGTAATTGATGGCAGGCGTGTACTATTTAACATGAGTTTGAATGTGATAGGCTAAGACACATCCATACTTATGAGAGTGTATGAACACTTACACAATCATACCTGTGTTTCCCCAAGAACAAGATTGGGTCTTATTTTGGGCCCCAAAATAAGCACGATATTTTATTTTTGGGGAGTCTTATTCCCTCCCAACCTTATCCGCCCCCAATGTACAGGAGGCCCACTTTTTTTGATTGTTCACACCGAGGCAGTGCAGTGCGCCAATGCCACACTGAAAATAACGTGATTTTTCATGCTGCTTGCAAGCCCTACCCCGGAAATAAGCCCTAGTTAAGAACATCAGCAAGGGGAAATAATAAAGTACAATACCATTTCCCCCCAAAATAAGACCTATCCCGAAAAGGCAGTGTTTTTATGCATGCACCTAATATAAGCTAGCACATATGTGTGAAGGGAACCTTTACCTTAATATAAGCCCTACCCCCAAAAAACAGCTCTACTTAAGAGGCTGCACAGCCATCCATTTTGTCTGGTTGCTCATAGTACCGCAGGGGGTGAAGCTGCCCTATGTACCCCACACCAGCTTACTTCAGGGCCCTTGCAGGCAGGCCACCCACAATGCGGCATTCACAGCAGCAGCACTGGCAGCCATGTGCAGCAGGAGCCCATGTAGTCACCATCCCACTTCTGCTTGCCACAGCCACAACTGAGCAGGAGGCTAAGAGACGACATGCCAGTGCCACGGCTACAAGGCAAGGTAGGAGGATGGAGCTACTCTACGCATACTGCATTGGCTTACTTCAGGGACCCTGCAGCCAGGCCATCCATGCCCTGACACCTGCCTTGCCTTGCGGCTGCAGAACCAACAAACTGCTCGGCCTCCTGCTCCGTTGCAGCCATCGGCAAGCAGAAGTGGGTGGCGGCTATGTGGGCACATGCTACAGATGGCTGCCAGTGCTGCCGCTGTGAGGTGTTGGGGTGTGGATGATCTGGCTGTGGGAGCCCTGAGATAAGCTGATGCAAGGCACATGGGACAGCTCCACCCTACCATGATACCGTGAGGAACCAGACAGAATAGATGGCTGTGCAGCCTCTCAAGTAGGGCTTATTTTGGGGGGGGGGGTAGAGCTTATATTAGGTGCGTACAAAAACACGCTAGACCTTATTTTCGGGGGTAGGTCTTATTATCTCCCCTTGCTGATGACACTTTTAACTAGGGGTTATTTTGCAAGCAAGAAAAATCAGGCTAGGTCTTATTTTCGGGAAACCCGTTATTTGGCAGCATGAAGAGAAAAAAATGAATTATCAAATTCTATTTTTCAGGGTCTGTCAGTTTTGTTGGCACAAGTCTGAATCTAATTTGATGCATTCATTACTTTCACAGTCATCTATTGATAACTATCAAGTTAGATACTTTAATAATTAGCATGATTTTTCTTATTTATTGCATTTGCCCAGTGCAGTTGTGTGGGAAAATCTATTTCATTCTTCAGGTTGAATTTCATTTTTAGGATGTCATATTTTCAGTTAAGGGGACATGGCTTATGAGTACTGTAATTAAATAAAAAAAAAAGATCTAGAACAGTCATACATAAATGTTTAATGTATTTTCTAATGAAATGGTCACAATAAAAGAACTTTATTTTACTGTAATGAAATGCAGTTTTACCACACCAGTATAAATTAAAACATTAAGATCAATGTTTAATACAGTTCTAGAAATAGTACAGGTGCAATTGTCATAATCAGCAACTGAACCGTTCAAACAAGAAAAAAAAAATGTCTCCCCAGGCATCCCATTCTGTTCCAACAGAAATAAGGCTCATTAGTATTATTACAGGTAAAATCCTTTTTGCTGAATGCTCAGATGTGCTAATTTCAAACTCTCTTAACATATGAGCAATGGCACATTTTATGTGCTTGTAAGAAGTTGTGTAAGAATATAAAACACTGCATTAGATCATACTATAGACATGAATTACTAAATTAAAATACATCTGGGATATGAGTTGGTATCACTTCACATCACATTGTAAATTAATACAATAGGCAACTTTGGTAGAGAGCCTATGGCAAATGAAGTGTATTGATGAGAGTTTGAAACTTAAGTTTTAAAAACATGCTACAGGAAAAATCATTTTAGATCTGCATGATTACCACAAAGAATAGAAGGATTAAATCATGTTTAATTTTAGAGGAAGCCTCCCAAGATTCCTAAAATGTTTTTTACATAAGTAAAATTCTGTTAATGGTCATCTATAAACGTAAGAGGTGCAAAATTCATTGTTTAGCCACAACATATACTTTTATGTGAAGGTGTAATCATAATGAACAATTATTGTAGTGAAACATTCTCAAGCATTCTGAAAAGCCATGTAATATTATCTGGGCTATTTAACAAAGCAGTTTGCAGTATTTATTCAGGATTTTTACTCTGAAATATTTTTTTTCAAAGACATGGTTCAGTATCTTTGGATTATATGATTTACACCAAAAATAGAGACTACTTTGGCAACAAAAATAACCTCTTGTTACAAGGACTTGCATGCATAAAGCATCTGATTTTGTTTGCCCTCCTTAAAGTGACTTCCTGTGCAGTTTTGATAATAGTTTAGATATTTACTTTCAAAACAAGCTTATCAATAGAGGTAGGAAGGGCAAACAAAGCAGAAGTCATACTGTGCAAACAAACCTTATAATGTAACTATACTTTATCACTAATTCATGTTTTCAGTAATATTTGAATAACCAAGATGGTACAACCTTTAGAATTTTCAATTGCCCATCACTCATATGTATCAGTTTTATTTGGTAAATAAAACCTCGTATCAAATATTTGCAATACTTCTCCCTAATAAATGAATATTAGAATGCAAAAAGTTTATTAGGTAAAGGTAAAGGTTCCCCTTGCACATACGTGCTAGTCTCTTCGGGCTCTAGGGGGAAGTGCTCATCTCTGTTACAAAGCCAAAGAGCCAGCACTGTCAGAAGACATCTCCGTGGTCATGTGGCCGGCATGACTAAATGCTGAAGGCGCATGGAACGCTGTTACCTTTCCCACCAAAGTGGTCCCTATTTTTCTACTTGCATTTTTACATGCTTTCGAACTGCTAGGTTGGCAGAAGCTGGGACAAGTAACAGGAACTCACTCCATTACACAGTGCTAGGGATTCAAACCGCCAATCTTTCTGATCGACAAGCTTAATGCCTTAGCCACTGAGCCACTGCATCCCACAAAAGTTTATTAAGGATGGTAAAATGCAGTTGTTACGTCAGTTCTTAGCTTGTATTTATGTATTACAGAATTTTTCAAGTAACGCAATTCCATTTCAAATCAATTATTACCACTTCAAAATTCCTCAAAATAAACATTTCAAATTATATAATATTTACAAATAAGAGTCTATTAATAATCTAGTTCCTTAATTAAACACAAATGAATTTAAAACTATGGTAATCAAGTATCAGGAAGGGTTACAAAGAAATATAAAAATCCTTTCATTAGAAACTTGCCAAGCTTATGAAGGATTTTGAATATAAAAATCACATTATTAAAGTAAAATCAATCGTGTGACTCATTTAATATATCCTGATCTGTAGAAAAAAAAACTATGATATGCATATTTCATGTAAATTATAACATTTTTCTTCCTTTATTTGATATAGGTATGTAAAACAAAAAGACCTTCATTTCAGGGGAATATTCTCCAGTGCTTGAACATGCAGTTGCTATCAGATACACAAACTGAATGAACAGAAACAGAATTGTTCCAATTATTAGTAGAATAGTAGCATCCTCTGTACATTTCACAAAATTGGTATATAACAGGATTTTTAATAGTACAAAAATTGCATAAGCCTAAGTCATTATTTTGCAACACAAACATAGTTTAAACAGACTTGGCTATTTAATTTGCAACTACTAAACTGCGGTGTTTAACATGCTTCACCCACATTTATTAACCTGGTCAATCTGTTTTTCTTGCAGTAGATCTAAACTGTCACTTTTATGATATCCAAACTCTTAAAACTTTAATGGCACAAGAAATTCTTCCTTCTTGTCATCAAATTCAGCGTGTCACACAGTACATCTCAATATGAGAAACCACCATTTTAATCAGATGCATCAATTGTAAGGAGGCTCAGTTGGGGCTCAGGAGAGAGAAATGTTCTTCTGGAATGTAAAGAGGTAATGCAGAATAACAATACATTTCATGAATTAATCCAATAATGGTCTGTTGTAAAATGGGCCAAATCTTACCATTTTCAAGACAGCTCAATTCAAGATGACCATCAATTTCTTCCATGCTAAAGCAGAAAGGCCCAAACTCGAGCTTATGAACTTCTTATGAATTGACTTAACATCCAACTGCACTATCATGGCAGACCTAGCAATTCAGAGTGCATCCAGTGCAGGTTTTCAGACTTTGTTTTCCTCATCTTTCTTACTTTGTAAAACCACATATTCCTAAATCAACTCCTAAATTCCAGCAGTTTACTTTTCAAAAAAATCCAGCCTTTCTTTTGTATCACAAAACTATGCCTTATATATTAAAGTGTTGTACTGTTCAACAAATGAACCTCCTCTTCACTTTCTTCTCTCTCCTCAGCTATTGAGTTCAGTTGAACATTATTGATGAGGGATCTTGGTTTGCCATCTGGGCCATGTGTCGAAGGATATCTTTTTTTGTGATAATGCCAAGGAGGCGCCTAGAAAGAGACACACAAAATATGGCTAATTAACTACAATATTTAAAGTCAATCAATTTTTCTTGTAGACAAAATCTTTTTTGTTGAAAGGAAAAGAGCAGCAAAGCCTGATTATTTTAAAGAATGCATTTTGACAGGAAGTAATCATCATTTTATTAAAACTATAAAAACTGAAAATAAAGAGAGGATGGTCACTAAACTATTAGCTACTTTCACCTAAGAAATAACCAAGCTACCCCCCCACACACACACCTATTATTTGTTGCTGATTATCATAGGCCAAAAAACGTAACAAAGGCGAAAAAAGATTTGAGTAAATGAAATTGATCCCATTACAAAGATGAAATATAGTAGGCAAACTCAAAATTGGTTGATAATTCAATTTTGAGGAACTGAACAGAATGTTTTAAGTGTTTCTATAAGAGATATGCAGATAAGCTTGAACGATAATCACAATTAAATCCATCTGAAATTCAGATTTTTTAAAAAAGAAATTAGTCATATTTTCCCCAAATTAAAAAGCAATGCTTTTAAAAATCAGTCTTGATATTATCAAAGAGTGAAGCTTTCCTAAGATACACTATTACAGGAGAGGCAGAGAGATATGTTATACTGATTAGTAATTGTACTGCAACTGACTTTATAAGAGGAGGCATGAAAAACTTATGAAGTATTAGAAAAAATGCAAGTTAAATAAGAATGTAAGCTGTTAACTTGGAAAGTGGGGTCTATTTTTAATTTTTTAAATTGCAGAGAGCAGCAATTGTAATCTAAGTGTCTTAAAATACAGCAAAAGGGATAACTGATAAATATCATTCGGGTTCATCGGAAAATACAGGAAATCCTAAGGGAAGATCTAAAACAGTGGTTCCCAAACTTTTTTGGTCTACCGCCCCCTTGGTGCTACAAACTCATCCTCGGTGCCCCCCACCCAGGGATGGGATTCAAATTTCTGTGGGCGTGACCTAATTTGAGAGTGGCTTGCTGGTCATGTGACTGGGTGGATATGGCTTGCTGGTCATGTGACTGGGTGGGCGTGGCCAGGTGACTGGCAAACCAAATACAAGTGGTCCTCACTTAATGACCGGTTGTTCAGCAAGTATTCTAATTTATGACTGGCCTCCTCAGAGCTACTTGACCTGTTTTTGGAGTTTTGACAGCTTTAGATCAGGGGCCTAAATCCCACCCCTGCCTGTGTGTGTGAGAGAGAGGGAGAGAGAGAGGTGAGAGAGGGAGAGAGAGAGGTTAGATCAGATCTCTCTCTCCCACCAACTCCAGAAAGCCATCGTCAGTCAAAATTCATATTAGTGGTCTCCGGGATTTAAAATTATGAGTTTGGGGGTCCCTGAGGTCCAAAAGTTTGGCGACCCCTGATCTAAAGGGGTGAGCCTGAGAGAGGGAAAGAGAGAGAGAGAAAGAGAGAAAGAAAAGAAAAAGGGAAAGAAAGAAAAAGAGACATATAAAGAAGGGGGGATGGAAGGAAGGGACAAAAAGAAAAAGAAAGAAGGAGGGAGGGAGGAGAAAGATAATGAGATATCTATTCTAGTCCAATCACCTGCTCCAGCAGGGTTAGAAGGGAGTGTGTGTGTGTGTGTGTGTTCTCCTTGTAATTTACCAGTACATTTTGGGTTTGCCTTCTTCAGAATTGGCACTGTAATACATTGGGGAAAAGTAATTTTTAGGGTAGAGATCTGGTTCAATGGATCCTGTTTAAAGCCTCAACAAAATGTGAGAGCTTCCTGATAGTCTTGACCATGTTTCGTCCACAAAACCTTTAATAGAAGCCAAATAGGTTTCAATGTGCTGGCAAAGATGTTTCAATGTGGAAAAGGGCCTCAGTCTAAACTAGGCATCATTCAATCTGATGCATCAGGTCTCTCTCTCTCTCTCCCTCCTTCCCTCCCTCTCAGACTGGCTTTGCTCTACTTTCCCGATGTGCCTGCTGGGCCGGTGCTTCGAACATGGATGGATGGATAGAGAGATAGACAGGCAGGCAGGCAGGCAGGCAAACAGACAGACCTTTTGGATGGATGGACAGACAGACAGACAGACAGAATGTGACAGCGGCAGCACTTTGGGAAAACGGTGGCGGCGGCCTTTCCCAACGTGCTGCCGCATTGGAGGCGCCAGGTCCGGAGCGCTGCTAGTCAATGGGTGAACCTGCAGGGCTGGCCGGCACCTCAAATGCCCCCCTGCCGCCTCTTAGCGCCCCTCTGCCAGCCCCCTTGGGTACGCTAAGAGGTGGCGGGGGGGCGGCACATCGAGCGCGGCCACGGTGGCATATAATGTGCCACCGTTTCTGCATTGGAGGTGCCGGCTCTGAAGCGGTGCTACAGTCATGAGTGAATCTGCAGGGCTGGCGTCTTGAACCCCCCCTTGCCTCTTAGTGCCCCCCTGCTGGCCCCCTTGCCTCTTAGCGCCCCCCTAAGGCATCCCACTTTGGGAACCACTAATCTAAAATACCCTGCCGTAGATATCAAAACTAATGTGTCATATGCAGGTTAAGTAATACCTAAAATTAAAAATAAAAACTCTAATCACAGAGTTTTGGCAGGTTTTATGTAATTTCACAAAACCGGGGGGGGGGGGGGGGGGGGGGAGGAGGATATATGTTGTTATATATGAGAATACCAGAATTTCTAGCACCAAGATAGCTAAAATACTACTTGGATCCTAACTTTACTCAGCATGTTTCCAACAAATGGATGTTAAACAATATGTTTCAAATTTACATATTTTAATTTAAATGCTTTTAGAATTGTATATGATTGCTTGTCCAGATGTTGTAATAGAACACTGAACAATTCACAAGTTTCATGCTTCCTAATGTCTAAAGTGTCAAATGAGATCTGATATATCTAATCACCAAGGGTTCGACGTGTTGCTTTAGTTGCTCGAGATGCTCTAATATGTTCTTCTTTGTGATGATCCCCAAGACAATCCTGAAACAGATCATGTTATGCTAATAACTGTGTGTGCAAAAAAACCGAAATGAAATGAAAACATGGATTGCAGAATTGGTAGTAATGAAAACAGTGAAATGAAAACCTTTGTGGTCAACATCTCTTTCAAAAGATGTAAAATTTACAGTGAGGACTGAAAACAAGAATGAATTTAAACATGATGAACACTGGTTACACATTTACTCCTGTCATTAAAACCTCCAGTTTCCTAAGGCTGTAAAAATGAAATGCAAGAATGAGCTTTAGTATCTCTGCAGCTAGGAATTCTGAGCTTTTTACAAATATCAGATGCTATGCATTTTATCTAGCTTCTTCTGGATTCAAATCATATGAAAGATTTTAAATATGTATTTAAATAGAGCCATTTATTTTGATTTCTGCATTTAGAATAAAGTAAATTGCATACTTTTTTTTCTTTCGAGTATAGTGCAATATTTTCTTTCCTTGATAATATAAGAAGTATTTGAAAACCATGTAACTGAACTGTTAATCAATTTCTTAAAACAGAAAATTCCTTAGATTTTTCTGACACATATATTTTTACGGTATCAGATTTTCAACTCTTTCTTTAGAGAAATGTCCGAACAGAAAAGTCTACTGCTAGAACTGTTGCACTGATGGTGGAATACATATATGGTACCAGTTAATGAATATTTCAGCTTTAACCACAGCAACACAAGAGCACACAACAGATATAAACTTAATATAAACTACTCCAAATTCGATTGCAGGCAGTATGATTTCAGCAACAGAGTGGTCAATGTCTGGAACTCACTACCTGATTCTGTTGTCACCTGCTCAAACCCTCCACTCCTTTACCCTCAAACTAACCTCTATTGATCTTACCCCGTTCCTAAGAGGTCTGTAAGGGCGTGCATAAGTGCACAATTGTGCCTACTGTCCCTATCCTATTGTCCCCAATTATTAGTTCCTATTTCTTATATTTAAACTTATGTTTATTCTTATTTCTATTATATTGTAAGCTTTTGACAAAATAAAAAAAAAATAGAATGCAGAAATCTGGAAATATTCAGCAATGAAATAAGTCAGGAATAGGTGGCAAAACTGGAAACTCACCATGTAGTTTTTAAACCAGCCCTATTTTTTGTGGCATCTCAATATGTTTTTCTTTTTTAAAAAAAAAGTTTAAAAAATAAAAGGACAACCAAACTTTTTTTTTTTTAAAAAAATAACCTTGTAAATTTCATGTTTCTAATGGAAATGCAGAGACTGCAAATTATACCAAAGCTCCATTCAACCCATTGTGGTCAATATCTGGTTGGAATGTGTAGTCCAACATCTGGAAGTATTAAACTAGAAACAATTACTTAAAAAAAATCACACAGGAGAGATGGATATCTTCTAAGGCAGTGGTGTCAAACTCAAGGCCTAGGGGCCAGATCCGGCCCACAGGCTGCTTAGATCTGGCCTGTGGGGCCACCCTGGAAACAGCAAAGGATTGGTCTGCGGTGCCTCTGCCATCAAGAACAGAGCTCGGGTGGGCTGCACACAGCCCTCTTGAGTTCCTTTTCACTGGCAGAGGGTTGCAGGAGGCCATTGCAGCCGAAAACAGCTCAGGAGCCTGTTTTCTCTGGCAGAGCACTTGGACAACACAGGCGCCCCCAACACAAGTGACATCGAACTGGCCACACCCACTCCACCCCTCTGAGGTCAAATACAACCTTAATGCAGCCCTCAATGAAATCGAGTTTGACACCCCTGTTCTAAGGGATGGAAGGCCAACCTGTAGATATAGGGACATTTGAAATGCTTGATAAATTTCAAAAATATTCTGAGTAGATTACGCAGTGTAGAAAAGTATAGAATAAGAAATAAAAAATAGCAGTTTGCAGGGAATGGGGAGACACTTGTCAAAACAAGAAAAGTGAATGACTCAATGACCATTTTTACTCTAGCCCCAATGATGACTTATTTCACCTCACTGATAACAATCATACAGATCCTAAGAAATTAAGTGGTTTTTGACAGAAAAAAAGATTGCAGGAGCTCAGCCTTGGTAACCACACTTGTGTCCACAGTTCATCCTAACAACCAAAACCTGGGAGAGGGATTGATATGAATAGCTACCTCCAAATACATGGTTACTTTCTTGACTGAGCAGAAACTTGAATCTAGACTTAATTGATTATATTCCAGCATTTTACATTACCATACTAGCTTTTTAATAACTTTAAAATAAAATGATACAGAACGAAAGTAGTTTCAAATGCATTGTAAGTTTACAATTGTAAACAATTACCTATTTAAAATATATTTTAAATACAAACTAGAAGAATGACCAAGTTTCCTATGAACTTAATATGATAATGAAATCTAGTATATTCCACCCTATAAGGAAAACATCACAGTAGCCTGTTACTTGCTTTTAAGAGCTGACTAAGAGATTCAAGAAAATTCCAAGAAATTACATAGAACAGGGATGCCCACTACCGGGCTACAGCCTGTTTGAAACCAGGCTGTGCGAGTGATTGGCAAGCATGCATAGGAAGCTTCACTCATGTAAACAGTGGGCCCTTGTGCTCGGACATGAAGCTCTGCTCGCAAAAGTGGGCAGTTTATGTAGGTGGCAGTTGTGCTTAAGCGTGAAGCTCCATTCACTCAAATGGAGCTTTGTGCAGCACTCTCTGCTTGCGTGAGCAGAGCTTCATGCACGAGCATACTCCACTCGTGTGAGTAGAACTTTGCGCATGAGCACAAGCGCCCTCCGCTCATGCGCAAAGCTGTTTGTGTGAGCAGAGGGGTGCTTATGCACGCCTGCCACTCATGCCAACCCCCGTGCCACCAAGATGGAAAGGTTGGGGTCCGCTGACATAGAACACAGAATAGAATTAAAAGGGAACTTTGAGGTCTTCTAGTTTTTATTTTTACTTGAAAAATAAAAGTTATGGGTGGAGCAAATATAATATGTAAGTCTAACATTTTTAACAAAGTCTGAAAGAAGTCATTTAAAAAGTCATTAAATAATAATCTGGAAAAAACAAACCTTGGCAGAATACAGAAGAAATTTTTTCAATAAAGAACTCACCCATTGTGTGTTACAAGACACTGTCTTAGGCCCAGTTTGCGGAATATGTCCACCACAATCTCCATTGGTGTGTGATCTGTAACTGTAAAAGGGCTCATATCAAGAATGCTCCTGAGCTTCAAAGGTCGAGGACTTTCTGCTGAAAGTGATAAGGTATGCTGGGCAAAACAGACTCTGGAACTGCCAACAATGCCTTCTTGTTTCTTTCTGGCACTTTCTTCAACAAGAACAAAAAAGAAAAATCAGTATGAAGGACTGGATTTTTTAAAAACAAAAGTATTGCTAGATTTCAGCCAATTGCTTCATGTGTGTATTATTATTTCAAATTAATTTTCTCTTCTGAACACCCATGTATGCATATAATTCATATTTCCACTATAAATATGTATAAAGAAATGAAATAGTTGGGTAGCTAACTGATGTGATTAAAAATATCAAAAATTTGATAGCATACATCCAGGCCATGCAATAATTCTCTCCCTACGAATTCTATCTGTATGTACTCATAAGCTCACATGGGAAAGTCAAGGACTTTAAACAATATGATAAAAAGTAGCCCCAATAACGATCTGCTTCTTTAGTGAGTGAACTTTCCTTTCTTTTCTCCTTTCATATGAGTTTTTTTTCTTCCTATTTTTTCAGCAGCTCCTTTCTCTTGCTAGTCTATTGATGACACCTGAACTGTATCTGCATATCTATCTGGTCTCAGTCTCCTTCCAACTAAATCTCCAAGGGAGCCTAATTATGAATAATCCTAAATTGCACATTTTAAAATACTATAAATACCAAATTGGAAAACATTAATGGAGAATAAATTCCAAAGCCTTCTGAAAGAAATCTGTCTTGGACCGGTATCTAAAAGCAGCAGCAGCAGTCCAAAATAGGCTCTGGAAATTCTTTACCCTTTGTAGATTCACAGATATCTGATTTAATAAATAATGAGGATTTAAGGCTTTAAGTATGAATAGCATGTTTAGATAAGATTAAGGAAAGCAAACTGCACTTGCACTAGTATAAAATGAAATGGCATCCAGATATCACCACAGCTAACTCCCTAATGACTCCACCTACATATACAGATGGAACAATTGATTTAGGAGTTAATTCAGGATTAAATTTGTGTCTCCAGAGATTTTAATTGGCTAAATTCCAATGGGTTAATTAATATTTTTATTATGGTCACTAACCAGTATTTAAAAAACACAAAAATAAAGCGTAAACAAAACAAGATAAAATATTACAATTGATGGTGGGTTTGTCAATATATCATAAAGTTGCCCCATTTTACTGGCAAGATAATAAAATTTATGTTCAAAAAGAATGAATCATACTCTACATTTAAAAAAACAAAAAACAAAACAAAAAATGAAACAGAATTTCCAGGATATTTTACCATGTAAGAAGTAATAAGGTGGGTCCTTGAGTCCTGAGTCAAGACTCCTGACAAAGGATACAGAATAGTGGCCTTAAGTTGTACAGATGGTTCTTGACTGATAACCATTTATTTAGCAACTAATCAGTTAAAATGGCACTGAAAAAAGTGAATTAAGACCAGTCCTTGCTCATACAACTGTTGCAAGCACCAAATTTTGGCAACCATATTTGCAATAGTTGTAGCATCCTGGGACCCATGGCTGCCATTTTTATCCTTTGTGGATGGCTTCCAACAAGCAAAGGCAATGAGGAATGCCAGGTTCCTCATTCCTAAGTCAGTCATATCATTAACAATGATATGACTGACTTAGCAACTATGGCAATTTGCTTAACCTTGGCAAAAATAAGGTTGTAAAATCATCATGACTCGTTTATTAACTGCCTTGCTTAGCAATGGAAATTCTGGTCCCAACTGTAGTTGCAAGTTTAGGACTACCTGCAGTTTCAACAGCCCCTGGCTTATAAGCACAGTCTTAGCCAATACGAGACTCTTTTGTATTAGCCCTCCAAAACTACTGCGTGCAGAGTGTTAAAGCATGTTGAAATGAGTGCTCTTTGTAATTTAGAAATAATTATGAGATGTAGTCTCTCACTGGTTTATAAAAAGGCTGCTGAGAAAGATTATTTTAGGCAGAGCCTGCTAGTTCTGTTGGAATTCCAGGTCTTGGATATGCAATTTAAATGCCTAAGTGCATGCTATAACCTACTATTGGGACCACTTTCCTGGAGATGCTGATTTTTGAGGTTTTTGTGAGTTCCCAATGAGATGCAACCTTATCTTCCACAGATTCAGTTTCAGCTCTCCAGCCACATTCATATAGCAGCATTGTTCACATCAAGTAAAGCAATGGAAACAAAGCTGCTTCCACACAGAACCCCAGTGAGGAGTAACTCATATGACAATGTGGCCATACCAACAATCCTTTATAAAAAGGAAGTCCCAAAGAGTCTTTCAAAGATCAAGGTCTTGTAAGTAAGAAATGCCCACAACAATCTAGTTATTGTATAGACACCTGGACCTTAAAATGTATGAAATCTCATTTAGTTATCACAAGGCCATAGAAGGACAACTTCACCGGGGTCTGTTCTGAAATTCTTATGTTCTATTCAAAATTCTGGATGGCAAAAGATCTACCAAGCATTTCATCTGAACTTTCGTACCTGCACTGTTCTTAAAACATCTTTGCAATGATAGAATAGCTATATTTGATTTAGATGTGTATGATCTATAAAAATAGTTTGTTGAAGATTCTTCTCCATTTGGCAAGGAAACAAAGAATGCAGGACATGTCCAAAATACATGAGAGCAACCTTATCTGCTGTTTGAACACCACGTCCCCACTTCCTTCCTTAGGGTCATGTGTACTTTCTGTACACAGACACAGACTTCAGAGGATAATTAGGACTGCAGAAAAAACAATTACTACCAACCTGCCTTCCATTGAGGACCTGTATACTGCACAAGTCAAAAAGAGGGCTGTGAAAATATTTACAGACCCCTCATATCCCGGACATAAACTGTTTCAATTCCTTCCCTCAAAACAACGCTATAGAGCACTGCACACCAGAACAACTAGACACAAGAACATTTTTTGTCGAACGCCATCACTCTACTAAACAAACAATTCCCTCAACACTGTCAAACTATTTACTAAGTCTGCATTACTATTACTATTAATCTTCTCATCACTCCTTATCACCCATCTCTTCCCATTTGTGATCGTATGACTAACTTTGTTGCTTATATCTTTACGATTTACATCGACTGTTTCCTAGTATGATTTGATTGCTTATTTGTACCCTATGACTATCATTAAATGTTGTACCTTATGATTCTTGACAAATGTATCCTTTCTTTTTATGTACACTGAGAAAATTGCACCAAGACAAATTCCTTGTGTGTCTAATCACACTTGGCCAATAAAGAATTCATTCATTCATTCAATTACCTATTGCAATAGTCAAATCTCTCCTTAGCGCAAATCCTACTAATCTTTGGGATTCTTTTGACATTATTACAGGAAAACCATTATAGCTGGTTTCATTGATCAAATTTTCAATATCATCCACAGTCATATTATCTTGTGTTAATACTGCCAATGGGGCATCATTTCTTCGAGGTCTCATGACATCAGCAGCCAGGGTTGTATGAGTAAATTCTTCCTTAGCATCCAAGAAAGGATATCCATTCAGACGGATGTGTGCTTCATAGATGCCTTCTCTGCCAAAAGCATCTCCAACCCATTTGCTTGTCATTACTGCAGCCATAAGAGGTACAATATACTCTAGTCCCCCTGTTAACTCAAACACAATAACCACTAGAGATACAGTCATCCTCGTCACTCCACCTGGAAGGGAAAATAAAAATGGCTTAATCAGCATGTTGTGAAATCTATAAATATTTCTAGATACCAACTACCAAATTATGCTGCAGAGACAGCAGCTAAACAAATTAACAATAGAAACATGCAAGGAAGATGTTTAAGTAGTATACAGCCAGTTAACTGTGAGGTCAAAATTAAATTGCAACCCTGCTGGTGCTTATTTGTGAGCAGATTTCACTGAGCTTCTACACACACACATGCTTTACAAGTATTTTAATAAAGAACTCTACCAAATCTTACATTCCTAAAAAACCCCAAGAGGTGCTCAAAGAACCATATCTGCCAAACCTTTAACCAGCTGGGGCTCACGGTATCAAGGAGCAAAGTACTTTTGTTGAATTATTTATACTATGCTTAGACTTGCATTGTAAAACTTAATTGAGGAAATTGCTAAATCTAGATTCCAAATATATCACCTCTGAGGTTTACAAGGATTTTTCTTGCTCCTAATGGATAATTATTAATTTGACTTATTGTTTTCAAGATTCTAATTTTTAAAAAGTATTAGGCATGAAGATAGTATACTGCTAAGCATGCTTAAAGCTTCAACTTCATTTCCAATCTGTTTCTGGGCTGTACTTGGTAGGTGGCTACTGTACAGTGTTTGTTTTAACAGCATACCACTTCTCTCCCCCCCCCCACCCCCAAAAAAAGCAAATGGAATGGCAAGGAATACCAAAGCTCTAAAAAATATATCAAGTAACAACTTCTCCAGCGGATGTAAAGGAAAAGGAGTACAGGTAGACCTTGACTTATGAACACAATTGAGACTAAAATTTCTGTTGCTGAGTGAAACATTTGTTAAGTGGATTTTGCCCCATTTCACATCCTTTCTTGCCATCGTTGTTAAATGAATCACTGCAGTTGTTACATTAGTAACATGGTTGTTAAGTGAATCTGCTTTCCCCATTGACTTTGCTTGTCAGGTCACAGAAGCTGATCCTCTCTGGAAAGGTCATAAATATGAGTCAGTTGCCAAGTGTCTGACTTTTGATCACATGACCATGGGGATGCTGCAATAGTCTTAAGTGTGAAAAATCATCATAAGTCAATTTCTTCAGTGCCATTGTGACTTCAAACGGTCACTAAATGACCATTGTAAGTCGAGGACTACCTGTAGTTGTGACTGGTCAACTCACAATGGCAATTATTTTTTGGTACAGACATCCTTCCATATCATACCTCTACAGTTTTCTACAGTTAAATATTTTAGTACGCAACAATCAGGTCAAATATTTGTATCCATTTGTAACATAAAATTGGCTGGTCACTGGCTGTTATAATTACCTAAGCATGCAGCAGCACCAACCATAGCATAGAGGCCCGGAGTTATGCAATCTGCTCCAACTTCACACCACTGCTTGAAGATAAACCAGTCGTGATGATAATACGCCAATTGTTCCACAGCAATTCCAACAATTCTGCCAGCTATTGCTCCAATGGCCATACTGGGTATGAACAAGCCTGATGGAACCTAAAACAACAAAATGTCGAGGAAGATTGTGACTTAGAAAAGTTTTTTAGAGTTCTGAAAAGGTTTGGAAGAATTTGCTTGTACAAAGAATCCAGAAACAGGACACCTAGAAGCCTCATTTCTGAAGAAGAGAATCAAAACATGCAATGCAAGCAAATAAATAGCCTGTAAAAGACTTGAATAGCTTGTAGTAACTACCGTGTTTCTCATATAATAAGGCCGGGTCTTATTTTTTTTTGAGCCCCGAAAAAATGGCTAGGCTGTCTTTTCGGGGGTGACTTAATTCCCCCCCTTGCATCTTTGGGTGGGCGGGTGGCGACGGCTTGGATGTTGACCTTGGCATTGGCGGGGCACTTCGTATCGGGGTCAACGCAGGCAGCACCATATCCGGGTGTGCAACAAAAGTACTTCCTAACGGCAAGCTCCCCCACCATTCCCCCCCATTTCACATGTTTTAATATGGGCCTTAATTTGGGGGGAGGGGCTTAATTTCATTTCATGCCTATAAAACATGCTGGGACTTCCTATTGGGGGAGGCCGTATTGTTGGAGAAACAGGGTATTGTCACCAGTAATCCTTGCTATGCATATTTATCTCCCTCACATACTTCAGAATGGCAGTGCCTCAGACATTGTGTATGCGAACATCCTAGCAATATGCTCTTTTTCATATAGCAGCGTAACAGAATCGGCACATCAACATAACATGTTTTTCCACCATACTGTCTGGAAGGAAATTTTCTACAATTAAATTAGAAAAAAAAATTTTTTAATTAAATTAAAAATGTTAGTCTGAAATTAAAAACTGGCTTGGAGATGAAACAATCAGGGAACTAGTAAATAAGATGACAAATCTCTGTTTCTTTAGCATTTCCGTTAAGAGACAGGATTTTAGAATTATATGGCCAAAATCAGAATAAGCTTTTTATCCAGTATTATCCTTTGACTTTAGAGTCTTGACTATGCTCCTTCATCCAGCTATCTGGAATATGCTGCTAAATAAATATAAAGGGTTGAACCCTTTAGTGGCACTGTACAAGCATGAGTGAAGAGTGCACAAGACCCTGAAATCTTACATCAATTTGTCCAACATTATTTCAAAGCAACACAGGTAGTCTTTGACTCACAACAGTTTATTTAGTAATCATTCAAAGTTACAACAGGACTGAAAAATGTGACTTATGACTGTTTTCCAGTTATGACCTTTGCAGGCTCCCCATGATCATGTGATCAAAATTCAGATGCTTGGCAACTGGTTCACACTTATGACTGTTGCTGTGTCCCCAAGGTCATAGGATCACTTTTTGCAACCTTCTGACCAAGTCATTGGGACACCAGATTCACTTAACAAACGGGTTGCTAACTTATCAACTGTAGTGATTCACTTAACAACTGTGGCAAAAAGGTTGCAAAATGGGACAAAACTCACTTAACAACATAAATTTTGAGCTCAATTGTGGCCGAAAGTCAAGGACTACCTGTAAACAGTTTATCTTATGGAAATAAATTATCTCCATTCAATTGCCAGTAGAGAGATGGAGAACTAATCAGGGCACTGGAGAAAGAAAAATGAAAGAGACCAAAACAAGGAAAAGTTTGTTTCATCTTACCTTAATACCGAAAGTGAAGACTGTCATTATAATCTTAAATATAAGGGCTAAGCACAGCTGCCATATTGCTGAATAGACTCCAGTGCCTGCTGGACGGTCAGGAATGTCATCTACTATTTTACTAGCGTTCATGTCATTTCGATAATCACAAAGGGACGATGACTCCAAAGGCCCACAGTCTGTGAAAAGTTCTTTAATTAGCTCACTGGTGTTGACTCTGGTATAAGGGTTTGGAAAAGCAATGACAGCTGTTATCGCTGCTACAATAATGACCTCAAGAACTGGATACTTTCCAAATTTGGTTGATTTCCGTCGACGGCACCAAGCAATATTGGCACGGATGAAAAATGCTCCCCACAGTCCACCAAATACACCCAGAAGAATGAAGGGCAGTAGTTCAAATAGATACCATGGAGTGTGATATTCAACATAAAAAAGAACCAGACGACTGTTTCCAAATGGATTGATGGATCTCAAAACAAATGCAGCCACCAAAGCAGCAAAAAACGATCTCCACAAAGTCTTCAATGGAAAATAATAACTAACCTATAAAGACACAAAAAAGAGAATATGAATGGATCTATGGACAAGATTACTTTATTCTACCAGTAAGTAGTCTGTGACACACAGCAGTAACCCTAATCAGGTCTCCAATCTTTATTGCCAATGAATCAAACAGGTACCGTGCCTTTCCTGGGATGTTTCAGCAACCTCAAAGTATCTAGCCTCAAAAGAATCCATTTGAGCTGGAGAGACAGGGCTCCTGTGACACTGGACACTGTAGAGGCAACAACTCTTCCAGTGCTTGTATTATTTATTTATTTGAATTTTTAATGCACCTTTATTATTTTATAATAAAGGCAGCAAACATAGATAATATTTCTTCTTCCTATTTTCCCCACAACCACCTTGTGAGATGGACTGAGCTAAGAGAAAGTGACTGGCCCAAAGTGACTCAGCTGGTTTTCATGCTTAAAGAGGGACTACAGTTTATAATTCTAGGGCAGCACTTTAACCACTAAGCCAATCTGGCTCCTTACAGAGACATTCATACTGGCCTGATCTCATCGTTACTGCTTAACCCTTGGAGCACAAAGGACAATTTTACAAGTCCCTGCTGCTTGCAGACATTAATCTTGCTATAACCTACAATGCTGTCAAGTTTTTGGCAGCAGCACTTAAAATTACCGTATATACTCGAGTATAAGTCGACCCGAATATAAGCCGAGGCACCTAATTTTACAAAAAAAACTGGGAAAACTTATTGACTCGAGTATAAGCCGAGGGTGGGAAATGCAGCAGCTACTGGTAAATTTCAAAAATAAAAATAATTAATTTGGGAAACGATCTCACTATCATGAAAGGTTTAATTGATTCACTAACCCAAAAGAAGAAGATGATGATGACAGCGGGAGGCAGGAGTCACTCTCTTCCCCTCCCTCGGAGGCCCCCTGAGTCAGGAGTCACTACCGCCGGCGCGGCCCCAGTCCCGCCGCCTCGGGAAGGGAAAGGCAAAGCGCTTTTTGCCTTTCCCTTCCCGGCTGGGGCTGTTGGGAGTCGCTGCCGCCAGAGGCCGCGACTCCACACCATTTTTTTTCAGAGGGGAATCTGACTCGAGTATAAGCCGAGGGGGATTTTTTCAGCACAAAAATTGGGCTGAAAAACTAGGCTTATACTCGAGTATATACAGTAGTTAGAGATGACTTGTGCCATAAAGTAGAATGCTTATTTACATTTTGTAGGTATTATTCTATAACAACCAAGATATTGTCTCACATATTAAGTGGAAAGCTATTTATTTTAGATTTTTAAATGATCATCAGAACAAAACCTTTAACATCAATAATACAGACAAACTATTGGTAGCTATGATTGATCATTGATAACAAGAATAAATTCATGATAAGGATATACATTTACAACAAACTTCAAGAGTTATAGCAATACAGATTTTCCTACATTAAATAGGAATTGTCTCCAGAAAAAGGTTTTATAGAATGGTACAATTTTTATTTCATTCTGTTAAAATGATGTAAACGATTGCTTAAATAGATCAAACATATATTGTGTTTCCTGATAATTTACCATCAATTTTCTGCAGAATATGTTGTAAAATATTTCTTTCTATTTGTTACTGAACCACTCTATGCAGTGGATGAAACCATGCTCAGTTACATCTGTAAGTGACAATAACAAGTAACAAGAAAATCCAGGTATTTTCAGTACTGGGTAAACATACTTCTTCTAGGCTGAAAAGAACTCCTCCAATTGGGGCACCAAACGCTACTGATACTCCAGCTGCTGAAGCAGCAGATAATACCTAGAAAACAGATTAGATAGTTTTAGATTATCTAAATACCAATTAATGAAATATGCTAAACTTACGTTCCAAAGGATTTGACCTGGCCTATGCAATATTAAATATTACAATGTGACATTTATTTTTTCCTTAACTCAAACATTAATTTATTTTTTGGGGGTTGCATGGCTATCAAAAAAGAAGAGGAAAAGGCAGAGTTTCTTCATGAAAGTAATGAACAAAGGCAGCGAGCAGCTCAATTCCCATCTATAGCACCTTTTCCACTTTGGATCCAAACAGGTACACAGCCCTGTACAGCACTCAAATAACAAATCCTCTTTGCATCAATTAAAACTCCTTGCGCTTCTTAATTATGCAAAATCCACGTACAAACTTTTCTTCCAACAGAAAGCAACCGCATTTTTATTGAAGTAAGGAAGGAGAAAAGTCTCTTTGTGGTGCATACTTCTACATTTAGCCTCGATTCCTTATCAAATTAATCTATTAAGTCAATAAACACTTCTTTCCATGTTACAAAAATATTTACAAGCATGTTTTTTTTACAACAAAAAGATCCTGCTATACGTGAAAAATTAGAGATTTGTCCATTTAAAATGTAATATTTGGCACACCACCGGCCACATGTAATTTAAAATTTTTTTGAATCTGAAATATATTTCAAGTTCTACTGAAATTAAAAAAATGAAGTTTAAAAAGGATATACCTCCCTTTTCTTTGCTTCATTTGTGCTGTACTTGGGGAAGAGGTACGAAAAGATGTTTCCCCAGCAACAGGCAACATGTACAAGAGGGCCTTCTTTCCCCAAGCTCAGGCCCGAGGCCACCGCCAAGACTAAAGTGACTGTTTTAATCATCAATGTCCACTTGCCCAGGTACCCTCGAATGATGAAGCCGCTCAATATTGTTTTGATCTAGAAGAAAAGTACATTCCAAAGAAACGTTTCTCAAAATATTTTATCATTTTCAGAATGTATGGTTCTATTTTAGTTATTTGTAATTCTTCATGTTTTTGAATCTTTGGAAGGGTTATTTATTTGACTTTATCCGGATGGCCAAATCTGTGCATATAGAATTAATTATAAATTAATGTTATAATATTTATTATGGGATTTCTAACATAATACACAATATTATGTAACTTGATTATTTAGATATGTTGACATGCATTATGTAGATATTATTTATATGTATTATTTAAATACATTCTCTCATAACATATATTTTAAGAGCTCATTTTCAGCATATTAATGTTTACTGTAATAATCTCTTCCTTTATCAAATAGTATTTTCCATTCAGTATAGACGAAATAAAAATTAAGATTGCAAAGAAAAACCAAAAATAATCTATTGTAAGGAATTTCTTCTATTTTCTTTCAAATGTATTATACATCTACATATAGGTTAATCTGCTTTTACAATCATAATATGCTAAGGCATTCAAATTTATAAGTAAGGTAATAACTTTTTCTCAAATATAATTTAATTTTCCAAGAGCTATATTAATATATTTGAGATATTTGAGATATATATTTAATATATTTGAGAATATTTAAAATCTCTTTCCTAAATTGCAATATTCATATAGCCTGGTCTCTTTTATCAAATTCTAGCTTCTTATTTCTTCTATAAAACAACAATATACAGTTAGTTATATACAGCAATATTTTTTATAAATTTATTTTCAGCACAGTTAGGTATAACTATAATTTATTTCTTACCTCTGGTATCCCTGATCCACAAGCATAAGGTGCAAACACCTTCACCAAAGAAACTGCTAAGAAAGCAAAGCTCAAAGCCCAGAAAATGTACATTATGTAGTTCATTATATAGGAACCTGGTCCCTAAAACAAAACAAAGTCAACTTTAGTAAATCACTTATTTTTCAAATAGATTCCCAGCTTTAAAATCAAGCTTACAAACACATCACACTTTATGACCAAACATATTATTTAGAATACTGATGAACCATGAGCATTTGACCTATGACCATAAAGTTACAACAGTAAATGTATGGTGGTTATGACTGGTCCTCAGAGTTTTGTGCCCCATTACCTCCGCAGTGACACCATTCCAATCTGAGTCTTGGCAACTTGGCAACCGGCAACTTACGGCCAATTATAGCGCCCACAATTACACCAATACTATTTGTCACCTTCGGTGCAGGTTTCATCCAAAAGTTAATGGGGAACCTGGCAAGGAAAGTCTCAAAATCACTGGGATAAGTCTTTTCTGTTGTGCATTCTTCTCCCCAGCCCTCCGGTGCTAGAGCCATGCTGGCTTTGTACATCCTCCCCAAACCATATAATGCTTCTTGCACATCCCTGATTCTCACTGCACATTCACACAACTTTCCCGACCCATTCCTCATGCACACCCTCAGACACTTTGACTCATGCCTCACACAGCACCCTAACACCTGCTCTTGACCTTCACTGCATCATGCCTCCCTGCACACCCCCTTGCTCTTTTTCCTACCTGAGCAATTACTTACCGGTCTACTAGCCTGGGATTTGCAACTTCCTACCGGTTTCCACATTTTGTTTGTGGGAAGCCAGCAGGAAATTGCCTTGCTTAATGACCCTGGGATTTATTTTAACAATATCAACTTGAACTGCAGGATTGCTATCATTAAGCAATGCAGTTGTACTTTACAACTATATTCCTTCACAACAGAAATTCTGGTTCCAGGCTTTCATAAGTAAAAAAAACTACCTGTGTTTATTGTCCAAAGAGTGATTTATAGCATGCAGGGGGGGAAAAAAGATAGGATAAGTTTTAGTAGTACTGTAAGGAGACAAAATATATGTATTAACTAAAAAAATTTCAATAACATCCATGGCCACCCTGAAAATCTCATACCTCAAATATGGTTAATAAAAATGCTCTTTAATATTTGTGATAAATAGCTAATCCATTACAGAAACAATGCTTAATAAAGTATCATTTTGCCCTTTGGAAGGCCATCAAAATCTAGCATTTTACCCTGGTGTTGGGCTAGAATGAGAATATCTGGAATTGGTTATGGGATGTCCCAAAGGGATGACTGAGGCACCGAGTTTTGTTTTGATAATTTATAATTTTACAGTTCTGGGTTTTATTGTTAATATAAACCTCCAAGAACTATGTTTAAGATATACAGCCATACAAATCTTATAAATAAATTATAAATAGATAGATAGATGATAGACAGACAGACAGCCTGGAGACTAAAACATATGAAGAATAGTTGCAAGAATTGGGTATGGCTAGTCTAGAGAAAAGAAGGACTGGGGGGATGTGATAGCAGTATTCTAGTATCTGGGGGTCTGCCACAATGAAGAGAAAAATCAATTTATTTTTCAAAGCACCAGCAGGTACGACAAGAAACAATGGATGGAAACTGGAAAAAAGCAACATGAATTAAGGAGAAACTTCATAAGAGTGAGAACAATTAACCAGTGGAACAGCTTGCCTTCAGAAGTTGTGGGTGCTTCATCACTGGAGGTTTTTAAAAAGAGACTGAACAGCCAATTGTCTGGAATGGAATGCTTGAACTAGAGGTCATTTCCAGCTCTATTCTGATTGATCTAGAAAAAACTTTCCTATTGTTAGGGTTTTCTCATCAAGGCACTGATTTCTCCTTAAAGACTTTACTTACCTCTGCTTGACCAATTATTAATTCTGCCCATGTTTTCCATAATGGACATTTATCTCTCTCTTCAAATGTTGTTTCATTGGACGCCCAGCAACATTGTTCATGATTGAACCACAGAGCACTGAGACAAATGCCTTCCTTTAAATCAGTCATCCAATCTGCAGCAATATCTATCAATCCAGCCAAAGCACCTAGTGCATAAATACAGAATGTTCCATACTTTCAAAGAATAGACACACTCAAAATTATAATGTACTAAAAACACAAGTCTTACTGAGGTTGCTTTTTTTGTAAGAAAAAATTTAAATATTACTTTCTATAAATAATTTTACAAAAATGCAGAACATCATAACTTTGTCTTTTTCATGTTAAAATATTGAATATTACATCATATCAAGAACATGGGACATACTTTGGAAAAAATAAACATATCGTATAAAGCTTATAATCATGCTGCTTCATGCTAGTTATTTATAATTAACATAAAATTAGTGTAACAAAACATAATATTAGCAATACATAACCATACAATAATAAAAATGTTGGAAGAAGGGATTCTAATGAATAGAGTAATAAATTTGATTCTGGTATTTCTATTCATAAATAGAGATTGACGTAAAAATCCTGATTTCTTCATTCCCTATTTTAACATTTCACTATTAGTTCATATGTTAATTTTTGCTTGGGTAAACTATAAGCCATAAAGTTTATAGCTCCAGCAGTCTAATGCTTTGGGGATAAATAAGCAAAGAAAGCAACCAACGATACTGAGTCAACCAGCTATTGCTAACTTGGATTACATGCTTAATTGCTCATTTCATAATTAAATATCCATGATTAAGGCATGCATATTTAAATATTACAATAACAATGCATGTTTTTTCTAATGGACCTATATACTATATGAAAATAAATGCATAGATTAATATAATTTCTGTACATTCTTTTTAAATAAACAAAATTATACTATCCAAGTTACTCTTCTGCAAAGCTTCTCTATTTGTGATTAGTCACCACTGAATGTTTCTAATTTCTTTTAATTTTCTAATATATCTAGTAACTCCTTCTTCTTCTTTTTTGGAGGACAAAAGAAGCTGCAGTAGAAGAATAGGCATAAAACTCCTCTGTACCATACAATATAACTATCTGGTAGTCCTTACCATCACAATGGAGCCCAGAATTTTAGTTATAAGTTGTTGTGGTTGTTCAGGCACTATGAGAGTCATAAAGTGAGTCACTTTGGTTGTTAGGCAAATCATGTGGTTGTTAAGCAAATCATATGGTTGTTAACAAATCCATTCTTGGAAACTAGCAAAAAACACTAAAAACTGGTAAAAATATTGCAAATTGTAGTCATAAATGCGAGCCTGTTTGCTGAACACCCAAAATGCAACCGCATGACCATGGCACAATACTCAATTATGAGACCTGGTTGTAAGTAGTTGTTTTTAAGTACACTATAACTTCAAACAGTCATTAAATGACGGATCATAAGTTGAGAACCACCTACAATTTAATATTTCCGTAAGATGTTGGGTTATCTGTATCTTTGGGGATATATGCTGGTCCATATGACTATACTGCAGCCATATAACCTTTTGTATTTTTATAAATCATAATTACATTTCAAGAACTAGGAAAGCAACACGTAAACAACTACTAAGCAAATAGATGTCTGTATAAATTGAAGAAATAATTGTAACAACACCTTTGGAAGAGTGAATTGTAAGTGAATTACTGAAAAATATAGTTGACTTAGGACAATGGACATTAGACACACAGTTATTGATAACATGAATTTATGCTGATATAGTGCATGCTGATATATGTGGAACTTAGTATTCCAAAAACCGAGTTCTGATAAAAAATACAACTCTAAAGGAACTTTACATTTTAGCCTCAACTGCAATTCCAGCATTTCCTCCAGGTTATCACCACAGTTCACGACTAAATCCTGTTTTTCAATCTTAGTTTTAAAAAAAGCAGTTAAATTGCATTTCCTGATTAGGATGTCACAAATAGGTAGAAGTTGGAAGAAACAGAAATACAATACATTGCTCTCGTTGCTCATTCATGCTCCAATGAACTGAGGGGTTTGTTTGTTTTTGTGGAACTAATATGATTCAACAAACTAAAATGTACAAGTCTTCAACTAAAATGTACAAGTCTTCTTGTATCCATTGCTTCAACTTCTAAAAAGTTAAATGGAACTTTACAACTTGCTTGATTTGTTCTGTGCCCAAAAGAAAAAACTTATCTAATGTATATAGGTTAATATTTTATTTGGCATGAAACCAAAAGAGATTTTTTTTCTCAACCAGCAATACTTTAACATTTTATGTTCTACCATAGATCCATAGTATTTTAGTAGAAATAAAATGTGTACTGTGAAAGGAACTCTTCTAGTGCAATTAGCAGAATTATATGACTGATTCAGGACTGGGAAGCAAAAGTTCTTGTATATAAACTGCATAGCTTTCAATACCAAGCAGACAGAAAAATATGAGAATCCTATCTAGGCTCCATTGCCAATTTTCACTGAGTACTATGGTTATCCTAAGCTTATTTATACAAGTAGTCCCCTTTTAGCAACCACAAGTGACAAGAGGAAAATCACAAGACCATGTCTATGTTTACAATTTTACTTCAGCTTTCCTTTGCTCTACAGCAGGAGTGTCAAACTTGATCCCGTCATGGTCCGCATCAAGAGTTTGTTTGCCCTTGGGAGGCCAGGCTGGATGTGGTCTGGTCATCGTGGCCAACTGGGTAGGATGGGCGGGCCCGGGGCAGCAGGGCCCATTCCCTCGCTGTCTCTAGGATGGCCCCGTAGGTCAACACAGCAGCCTATTGCGGACCACATCCAGATCACGTGTTTAACATGTCTGCTCTACAGCATCAGAATTTAATCCCAAAATGGTGGAGATGATTTCTGGAATGAAACTCGGAGTGAGCCAAGTAAAAGGGCAAATCTTATAACATCTTTTCTCCACTCCCTTGTCGTTTGGAATATTCTCCCCATCCCTAGGATAAATTAGCAAGAAGAGTTAATTTTTTTTATCACCACTGGAATTTTGAATAGTTATTGCCCAAGGCAGTCTCTGAGCAAGATCTTCCTATAGATGGAATCTTGAGCTTTTCCTTCAGAGTAGGTTTCTACTGAATTCAACATGATTTATTTCTGAATAGAAATATTTAGAATTATATAATTAAAAAAACAAGTTCCTACCTGATGCCAATCCAGTTAGTGTCACAACCAGCCATCCTGACCATGCATCATACAAACTCTCTGTCATTTCCCATGCTGATTCTTTTTTCTTGCTATTAATCTAGATACAATATATAATTTAGATTAATACAAATCTTAATTTTATTTACAAAGTAAGATACAGTACAGATAATCCTCGACTTATGATAATTGCGTACCAAATTTCTGTTACTAAACAAGACAGTTAAATATGCGTTACCCCATTTTTTGACCTTTCTGCCACAGTTGTTAAGTGAATCACTACAGTTGTTAAGTTAGCAACACAGCTGCTAAGTGAATCTAGATTCTCCATTAATTTTGCTTGTCAGAAGGTCACAAATGATCATCATGTGAGCTCGGAATACTCAACTGTCAGATGCCAGTTGCCAAACATCTCAATTTTGACAACATGACCACAAGGACACTGCAACAGTCGTTAAGAATGAAAAACGATCAAAAATTACTTTTTTCAGTGCCACTGTAAGTTTAAATGGTCTCTAAATGAATGGTTGTAAGTCGAGGACTACCTACATTTGTTTCCTTGTTAAACTCAGAGAAGCAGAGAACAGTGAAAGCAATGATGAGCTTCTTATGGATGGGTGGATGACCAATATCTTGTTTCAGAAGGCGGGCAAATGCTTATTTTTTCAGATGAACATATAAGGCAAAATCTAAACAGAAACATCCAGCATTTGAGCATTTAAACTGATTGCTTAAGCATGTCACATTAATGTGAGAAACAACAAGAATTAAGAACTTTTTTTTTCACAAATGAATGTTTACCTATCTCTTCATATCAAAAACCATTGGCCACCAACAACATGCTATTCATAGCTCTCCTTCCCCTTGCACTCGCTGGTCTTTCTTCCTTCAAATCAATTAACCATAAACAGTTTATAAAAGCATCAAGAAAAGTACATTTACATATTATAAATACCCTTCTGTGTCTCTCTCTGTCTTTGCATTTTTCTCGCACCCAATCAATTGTGTGGAAATCATCATAGGTTCCAACTCCAGGAATGGGCTCTTCAAGAAGATCCAGTAAATGTGTTGTACTGTTAATACTGCCTCCATTTGTCATTGTATAATGAGTTCCTGCAGCTAAAATAGGATAAACAATGACTTAGTTCTGTAAAAAGGAAAATATATAATTCAGTAGCAAAAGGAAATGGGAAAGGAAAGTAAATATACACATATAAACAGACACACATACTACATACAAAGTACAAAGAAAAAAATGGAAAATGATGCCTGATGAATTAGAGAAGCGGCAATATCTTGCAGTGGAACAAATGGGGTGCTGCAAGTTTACTAACCTCCCTCAGGCTTCCCTTCCATGCAATCAAAATAGCTGTATTAGAGGATGTATTGTATTTTTGAATTCAAAATACCACTTTCCTGCCAGATTACTTTGATTCAGCATCAGCCTGCCTCCGTTACATTGAAATGGAAGCTCCATTGTGAGGACATATCAAAGCAAGCTTGTTTGGATGTTATATGGAGAAGTTTTCATTCTTTTGAAGTTATATAAATTGCACTTACTTTATTTAATTTCAAAGAATGAAGACTTCTCCATATACATTGTATGATTCAATATATTGAAAGGTTAATTGAAAATCGATGAGCCATGAAGAATCAAATACTGTAAATTACTACTTTTACTTTTCTTTCCTTTTTTTGCAATAACAACATTTTCAAAAATAAAATAAAATAAAAGGCAGATGATGCAAAGATGTCAAATGCTACAAAAGACACTAATAAGATTCTGGAGGGCAAAGGCAGTGCCATGTAATGACTTGCCTTCCAAATATCGTCAGGATTTTACCCTGAAATACTGTAGAGTGGAGATTGCAGCTCCTGTCTTAGTGCTGAACAAAGAGAAAGCCACCACTCTATTATTTTCTTTTGGGGAAAGGAGGTCATTTTCCCTGCTCTGCATCAAGCAGCAAATATCTTGAAGCAGCTTTAGTTAGGATAGGTCAATCTAGCAATCTAAAAAGCATTTAAATAATAAAAGTGTCATGCTGACATAAACAATTTGATATATATAATTTGATATATTATAAATAATTTCATTTTTTAAAAAAAGTAGACACCAAGAAGCAATCTATATAGCAGAAGATAAATATACAAGTATTTAGCAAATTATCGTTTAAATGTACTTATCTCCTTAAACTGCATTTTACTAAATTAACTATTGTTAACAGTATTACAGAAGGTTATCTAGAAATTATGACAAGGAATAAGACAAAGTCAAGAACAGAGCACCGTATGAAATTAAAGGACCTGTAGAAAATATTGGCATTGCAAACAGAAGGCAAATATACAGTATTATTAATATCCATAAAGAACCCACTTGGGAGATCATCATGACTCAAAGCCCTATCCAACAACAGTAATCAAAAATGGCAAGAGAATTTACTGCCATTCTGAGGGAGGAAATGAAACTGTGAGAGAGGGAGGGAAGGAGAGTGATATGATTCAGAACTACATGGTCCCAATCCTTCTACATTGTTGCTTCACCCACTGAAGCCAATATTATCCCCAAAAACATAAGTGCAGCCTAACAGCCACCAAAGCTTATCAGTTTGTGATAAAATTTATTGTATCCAAAATAAAAGAAACTAAATCATGTAAATTGAAAAAAAAAACCCTGAATTGAACTGAATACTTTATTTGGCCATGTAATTAGATACATAACAAATTTATTTCTGGGGCAGAAGCTCTCAATGTATATGCAAAGCAACAGAATAATGATAGTCATAGTACCAATAAAAGGGGGTAGTAAGGAAGATAATAAGAGACCAAATACTAACCATACTGCAGCCGTACTAAATGGGCAAATACACGTAGACATTAGACATAACTATGAGCATTGTTCACATTTGCTAATACCATTCTATCTATTTTCCAGACTTTCATCAAATAAATTTTTCACACAATTACCTTCCTTGCACAATGTTTTTAGCAATTCAGGAAAGCAATCAGCTGAAGAAATGCTCTGAAAGTGTCCTTGGTAATAACAGGCTCATCAAAATAGGTCACACACTACAAGAGTATTAGCTAACAAGTTTCAAATAACATGTTTCAAAACAAGAGCAGAGAAACTTTCAGAACACCAGCTGTGTGCATGAATGACTTTACAGCAGCCTCCCCCCACCCTAAATCATATGTGTCATTTAAACATATGCAATCATTTCAATGTCCCAGAAACCTAATCTATTTCTTTCAAATAAATATGTATTAATACCATCAAATTCCAATATGGGTATGGCTTTATTTCTCCTTCTTATGGCTATGAATTCCTTATTTTCTTATAATTAGTCATTTTTCAAATAAATACAATACAAATTAATAGCAAACCCATTGTTTCTCAACTAAACAACTTATTGATAACAACAAGAACCAGAAAAATATAGTGGTTAACAGCACTGGATTAGGATCCAGTGGAGACCAAGATTCAAATCCCCAGTTTGTCTTGAAGCTCACTGAGTGACTTTGGGCAGACAAATATATTTTCTTTCTACAAACATATAGGTAGCCCTTGACTTACAACCACAATGGTGACAGGCAATGGTTAAGTGAGTTGTGCCTGTTTTACAATCTTTTTTGCCATGCTTGTTAAGTGAATCATTGCAGTGAATGTGATTGTCTCAATAACTGCTATGATTCACTTAACAACTGCAATCCGCCTCCCCCCCCCCATTTATTTAGCTTGCCCGAAGCCAGCTGGGAAGGTTGCAAACTGCAATTACACAACTGCAGGACACTGCAACTGTTATAAATACACATTGGTTTCCAAGGGCCTGAATTCTGATCACATACAGTGGGGATGCTACAGCGGTTGCAAGTGTGCATCCCTGTATCTCAATAACTATTTTTTCCTTCACTATATTTGTTATCTAACTGAATTCATTCTATATTCATTAAGATATACTTGTTATTAGTATATAGCATCTCAATAACTACTTTTTCCTTCACTATATTTGTTATCTAACTGAATTCATTCTATATTCATTAAGATATACTTGTTATTATTATATAGCAACTTATATAATATAGATTGCTGAGATACGGGGCTTGAAAACCATTTTATGCTATTCCACCAATTAGAAATCTTAATGGGAAGATTTACTGGGTCTTTTGCTTAATTGGAAGAACCTGGAATAAAATTATGGCTATTTGCTATGTTTTGATTGGCTGTTACTGTGAATCACCATCAGTTCTTTCAATCAATCAATCAATCACAACTGAATGTATACAGAACATATAATCAACCAATAAAAGGCTACAATCTCCATAGTTATATTAACTGTCTTATGTATAAACATGTTTTATTCCCTAGTAGCTTTGCAATTTTTCTACCAAAAACCCTCATTCTTTGTAATACCAAAAAATTCATTCTTTATAATATTTGATCAAACAAATACTTGAAATTATTAACTTCCCAGTAACACCGTCATGCTTATAATTAGAAATGAGAAACCTGATAATGAAGTACAATACAGATGACTAAGACAGTTTCAACAAGAAAGAGATAAGGACTGGCTTGCTGTTCCCCTTCAGTTGTTTTAAATCAAGTCTCTTTGAAACACTGTTGTCTACTAGACATTATAAAACCTGCACATATATCTCTACCGATAGATTATCCTGACTGCACCAACTATTCTTAACTTTTGAATGATTCAGGAATGGGAAGACTACAGGCCTGAATATTCCTTAATCACATACATGTTTCTTTTTTTAAAAAAGCTGCATAGGGTTTTTTTTATGAACAATATTTTATTTTATTTTTTGTGCTCTGCATTATATTTTAAAGTTAGCAGCAGAATGTCAGAAGGAAAGAACAATTTCTGAGATATATTACAATGTAAGAAAAAAAGAGAACAAAATGAAGTCTAGGTAACCTAGTGTCAAGCATTCAACAGAGCATTCATATTTAATAATTAATTGTAGTATATTTGCAACCTTTAACCTGCATTAAAAAAGAGAGAGAAATGGAATCAGTAGCTCCAATGTCAGCATGACAGGAAAGAAAACTGTTTTAAGATTTCATAATTATATTGTTCAGCTGGCAAGGGTTACATATCTGTTTGGACTAATCGGAGTTTTTCTCTCTCTTTCAAAACATTAGCATCAAGGCTTATCCATTTAAGATGCTTGGAGATTTCAAACACAAAATAACTTTTTCACAAAATACATACTTAACTTGTGGAATTCAATATTGCAAGGCATGGTGTTAGCAACTAACTTGACAGGCTGGAAAAGAAAACCAGATCTACTACTCTGTAGTTTTCCAACAGGGTTAGACCAGCGATCCTGCTGATGTGTCACCTCCCTCAGAAAAAAAGAGGTAATTTTTCATTTATTTTTTTAAAAATACAGTCCAATCATGTGTGTGATCCCCAGGATACGCTGCATGCCACTTCCTTCAGTATTCTCTTTCTATTGACAGGCCCATATAGTCTACCCAATGCAAATCCAGGTCATATAAGGCTTTTGTTCTTAAAGAATGCTCTTCTGCAGCTGCTGAAAACTGCTTGAAAGCACACCTGGTTCTCACATGATTATCAGAAGTTCCAGAGCATGGCTGTCAAACTTGCGGCCCACGGGCCAGATGCATCATCTGCTGGCCATGCCCCCGCCCAGTTTAGCAAAGGGGGGGAAAGTCTTGATACGTCACATGACGCTGCTATGATGACCCGAGTTTGACACCCCTGTTCCAGAGGCCATGCAAAAGCACACCCTATTCTTGCAGGCCTCTGCAGCTTCCAAAAGTAGTTCAAGACTAAAGTGTGCTTTCCAGCACAGTTGTTTTTAGGAGTTGGTGGATGCTGGTGTGTTACCCAAAATGTTGTGGTATCTCACTTTTGACATGTGTATCTTAAAGGATTTACCATCAATGGATTAGACTCAGTAGCGTTTTGGAATATGGCAGTATGTCTTTAAATAGCAATGGCAGAGGATAACTGCAGGAGAAGGATATATCTCCCTTACTGCATAGCTCCAAGAATTTATAGGCCATGGTGAGAAACAAAATCCTGGTGTCCTATGGGCCTTGGCTGATGGCTATCCTTACATTCTTAGAGAAGAATCTCCAT